TTATGGGCACTTTTTGGTTGTTATTTTTGCACAACAGTGATATTTGGTTTCTTGGTTTGTACAAAAACCCAATCCCTCTTGACTTACGCAGTCATTTCCACATATTTATTAGATCTGGCAGTCACAACACTGCTGCAAATGTTTTCATTTAATTCTTCGCCAGCACTTTAAAAAAAATTTTTTGGAAGCTTTCTTTCAGGGAATAATCAGCAATTATCAGTTGTCGCTAAGTCTTAAAAATAACCACATGGGAAAAGTGCAGCTCAGTAGATCTCTCTTCGCAATTTAATTACTTGGACCAAGTCTACCATTTACTTGAATTGAGAGCAGTGAGTCAATGATCTGCATTGTCTCTGTCATCAAATGGATATTAACTCTGCAGATGTTGTCGTGAGGCATTGGATGCCGCCCCAGGCTGTGGAACAGGGCTATAAATGGCATCTGTGGTAAGTAAGTCCAATCAATGTGACTCACAATCAAAGATATATATGTTCTAATAATTAATTAACATCACATGTCCTCCAATGTAATAGGGTCACAGATAGCTGGCCATCAACTTGGTGCATGTCCACCGTGTCATGTAAAACACTGCTGTAAAATTGCTTTTACCGATGCTGAAATGGTTTTCCTCCTGGAGGAGATTCATTGCTTCCGCTTCAGTGATCTGGGCAGAAAGATCATCACACATCACAACTGCAGAGGGAAAAAGCTAACAAAAATGGCAAAATTAAATAAATTCAGGAATAGATTGTTTTGGAGTACTGAAGGTTTAAAAGTCAAGCAAAACCAAAAATGGAACTCGAGGGGAAGAGAGGTTCCACTGCAAAAACACCAAGCTGCAACTTTCAGTAATAAAATACAACCAAAGGTTTTGGTAGCCAAGCCAACTTTATTTATAAGCACTTTCAAAACAACAAGACTGACCAAAGTGCTCAACAGACATCATATTAAAAAATCTACATAAAACAAGCAAACACATAAAAGATGTTAACACAGCTTGACATAAATTGACCTGTTACAGTGAAAACATTTTACAGCTGAATTTGAGTTACTTTTATGGAAATGGAAAAGTGTAACTCTACCAAACATTCTCAGTTTTGAAGCATGCAGAGCTCCTCTACAACATGGCATCTAAAATTGGTGATTCTCTTATTGTAGGCACATTTTGAAATGTACCTACAATTTATTAAAATTCTGAGTTAAAGTCACTGAAAGAGCTTTAAGTCTTGAGTTTACTTAGCATCATGGATAGTGTTTCAATTTATCTTGGCATATAAATGTTGTAATGTTGTGTTTGCAAATATCAGTGGTGCCCATCTGATTAATTTTAAAGGTGATAGGAAATATGAACAGTAGAGGACTTTAGACTCTGGAACTACTAAAATAAGATAGTGGTAATATTTCACCACTAATAAGCATTTAGTACTTTCCAACCACAAACACCTTCTATAGTTTAGAATACTTTCAAGAAGTACTATTTTCCCAGTAGGGAAGGTTACTGGATGTTTTTCTTCTCTGGTAATCTGATTTGGCTCTGGAATAGGACAGGAAAACTACCTCGATCCCTGGGAAAGTTTCTATACTTTAAATGCACATTCAATGTGTTAATGTGATTTTCAACCAGTTGATTTTTACACCTCTGTCAAAATGTCATAGCTCAATACACAACCACTGGCCTTGCTTTTATTTTTACTCTCCTCTGTTTTGTTCTGTTTTGCACACACATATTAAGCCAGTCCCAAGGGCAAGGTGGCGGTGGTGGAGTTTGTGTGGTTTCCTGCTGGTGTCGTGACGTGAGACAGTTCTCCTTGCTGGTAGAAAGGGCTCTTTGTGTAGGTCTGTCTCTGCCTTTCCCCCTCTTTCCACCGCTGACAATTATTTTCCCCAGCAACCCTCAGCTGACAGCTTGGTGTGCTGAGCCACTGTGTTCATTCTTCATGTGGCAGTTTGAAAAAAGAACCTTAAAACAATCGGAGCTGAGTCATTTTAACATGCTTATTCCAGGAAAAGCCAAACCACGTTATGATTTCCCCCCCCCCCATTAAAAAAAAAGCAGTTTGTAGCTTCATGACAAAGAAAAACCTCGTGCATGTCACACGCAAATTTACTCGAGTCAAAGTTTATTTGGCCACAGAGCTTGGAGATGAAAAATCTTTCCATTTAGACCAGTTGTTCCGTAAGACATAAAATCCCTTCCTCGTGGGTCCCACATATCATTTGATGAGGTTTCGAGGGCCAGATCAGTAGCAGGCCTGTCAACCGCTTCACTTGTGCTTCAACTGGGGTTTGAAAAATGGTTATTTTTCTGTCTTCATATACAAATGTGATACATGTGCAAAGTATTTTTTTTCTCTTCGTAGGGCGTCCTGCAATGCCAAGAAAAACTGCCACAGATTATTAGCTTCCTCTCAGACATCCCATTTCCGCACTTTTTTTCTCATTGCTTTGCAACCCAAATGTTTTCACATCTGACTTTGACTCTCTGTCGCCCTCTTCAGGAGTGTTTGTTGATAATACTTGGTATGTCTGTCAGATCTTCCATCTCTTACTGTATCTTACTGAGAGTTAGAAATTCATTGATGATGTTGAAATAAAACAGTTGGATTTAAAACAAGCATAACTTTACAATGACATGGCTTGTACAATGACTATAGTTAACAGGGTTCATATGCAGTGTGAATGCAAAACTATAATAAAAATCACACATTAAAGTATGGAAGAATATTTTTACGTTTTAAATTTTATTTTCTCAAGTCATCATCCTCCTTTCTGTATTTTTTCGTAACATCTAGCTTCCTTTTCTGCATATGTCTTCATTTCTTTCCTTTCATTATCTCCTTTTTCATTATTTTTCTTCATTAGGTCCTTCTTTTCTTGTGCCATCCCTCCTTTGTTGCATCCTTCTAGTCTTGCATCCCTGTTTTTTCATTCCTTCTAATCTTTTATTTTCACAGATTACTTGTCTAAAGCCTCCCTGTTGTAATAACAAAACCCTGGAAATTCTGGAAGCATTAGTCTGGAAAAGTCTGAAATTTGGACTCACTACGGCTCACAATAATGAAAGAAGTTGACATCATGGAAGTAATGAATTCCTGAGTGTATTAATGCTAAATATTTTATAAGGATAGCCATTTATCCTTTGCTGTCTGAATTTGTGTCTTGGATTTCTATAGTCTGTGGAACAAAGGGCAAACGTTCAAATTCAAATAATAATTAGAAAATCCTCACACAATTTATTTTAAATATTAATTGGCAATATTAGCTTATAGTCCTGAGGATGACCCCTCAGTGTTTAAGTGCATCTATTTACTATGCGCTGTGGATGAATTCTGTAAAATGGATTTCTTCATGAAGCCATTTTCTTTAATGGAAAATTTAAAAACTAAGATAGTGGCAAAATTATTTGATATATTGATTTATACTTGATTTTGGACTGCAGTTTCAGTCAACATCAAGTCAATCACTTTCGAACTTGATTGTTTTTACATATATATTATATTTACATTTTCTTTTCTGTTTTGCTTCCAAAGAGTCTCTTCTTTTTCATGTTGATTTTGATCAGCATAAATAAAGTGTTTTGAAGGTCTTTTCATATTTCCCTCTGTATTATGTCTGCTATTCCCATGTCTAAACATTGTCAGATTGTAGAAAGTGTCAGACTCTTTATACAGAATCAATACCCTGAGAAAAAACATGTCCTTTGATTGGCTCTAATCTGAATGGTTCAATAAAGCTTTTATTTTTGAAGATATTAAATCTCACGACTGTAAAAGTCTGACAAAGTGAAAGCTTGAAGTTTGATTGATTGCCTGTCCCATAATTACTCATTAGTACTGTAAACAAAAAGAAATCTCAAAACTCATTTGAACATGAATACCTTTTTTACTTAGCAGCAGACAGTCACATGAAAATGATGGATGTGTCAGTTACATCTATGTTGCAATTTGCAATTAAGCGTAAATGCCTTTGAACATGATGTTGAATAGCGCCCTACATATAATGGCAAAACCAAAAAAGAATCACCAGCTGCTGGTTGTAGGGAATTACTGGTAGGTTTGTTTCAAATAATATCTACAATTATCCCTTTCAGATGGCAATCAATACAGATTTGTTTTTTATTTCCAGAATATTTGGCATAATTTCCTAGTTGAGTAGACCAGTTAATTCACCTAAAGGAATTAGGATAAATGTGACAGCTGTGGAGCTACTCTTCACAACTCTTCTTTTACTTTAACAGAAGTCAGTTTTCAAGAAAAAAAAATCTAATTGGCTTTTAGTCCGTCATTTTATGTGATGATTAATCTTTCTATTTTTAAATGCTTTTATATGTTCTTTCAAAAGTACACTTTTATATTTTTGCAATTTAGGTTGTGTGCCACTCTAATGTTTCATCTGGAACAAGGCCAGATAGTGCTATTAAAATGCAAAATTAATTAATTTGCATTGAAATATTCACTGCGATGCATGTTGAAGAGCAGCTTTCAGTCAAAAATGACCCAACTATGAATTATAATAACACTTAGAGTTATCTGCAGTGTCTGCCTTTATAGAAAAATAATTGCCATTTACCTTATTTTAGAATCTCTTTGATCAAAGTTTAAAAATCAGTGCAAACACTGATCTGGATTTTCTCAGATTGTCTTCAGTTCAGCAAAACATGTCAAATGTTTGCAATGACCCTCGAGTACCATTTGTCATTTGACTACAAAGGCCCAACGTGTTTTAGTTTTCCTTTCAAACCTTGAGCCCTGAAGCAAGTTGCATCAGATCTAATTAAACTGTATTAGCTATTTTTCTATACATCATAACAGAGGTTCTTTAATTTCGAATGTCACCGTGTGAGATGAATGAAGCAAAGTCTCTATTGAGATAGCTCAGTGGGTTTACAATTAAAAGCAGTTTTTCTATGGTCAGACAGCTGGTCCCTGAACAGGCCCTCATTCTGACTGTGCTCTTATAACAAAACACAAGACAAATGAGTTGTCTTCAATATTCCAGACTGTTTGGCAAGAAGGTACAAGGGTTCTTTTTAGGTGTTTTTAGTACCTGATTTGAATTATCTCTGTTGCCTGTGAACGTGCATGAAGGATTCTACAATGCTTTTGTGAAAACAAGTTTTTAAAAAGGCATGAAGGTGAGACTTTTGGCCACAGAGATAAAAAAAAAAAAAAACTTGTGCTCCACCTCTATTCCTTCTGTTGGTAGGTTTCCATTCATCATATCTTGCCACAGAAAAGACTCATGAGCAGCTGGCTGAAGCATTTTTTTCAGATTGCTTAGGATGCATTAGCTCCACACACAAAGCCACTTCACCTCGGGGGTACAATTCAGGACGGACTGTGCTTTAATTACATTTGCCAGTTCTCCAGTATTAAGCATGAATATTAAACATGTAGCAACCTTTATTGAAATACACATTTGTGTGAATTTATGAGTAGTACCTGCCAAAAAGGTACTACTTTTACTTCTTAAAGGATTAACTCAAGTTTTGTTTGTATTTGTCCTCTGCTTCCACTGTAAAATTATGTGGGTTATAATTATGTAGGACCAAATAGACTCGGCATAGTGTTGATTTTACTCTGCAGAATTTACTGCAGGTAGTTTGAAAGACAAACAATTGTGATCAGATTGTATTTCCTTTTTTTCCAGTGGTTACTGTAGTTTCACTCCTAAATTGTTGCATGTATGAGCTGTTCATTAGAATATTAAAACAATAAAAACATTTTTAATATCAGTTCAGTAAAGACTTGACATTGAATTTTGGTTAAGTTTCAGTAATGTAACAACTTTAAAATAATTCTGACTGCTGCATACATAGAAAACAATCTGATCGTACATAAGCAATCACAAAGTTTTAAAGCAAAAATCTACACATTACACCAACAATAAATCATATTATAGACTGTAGATAGTTTTAAAAATGATACTTGAACAATTAGTAATTCTGAGAAAATTGGCTCTGAGTGACTATGAAAAGCCTTTTGAATTCCCTTTATTCTGGTTCGGACTACAAGCAACTGATAATAATATGTCCGTTATGTGACTTTTCTAAGCTTTAATATTTACTAGCTAATTTAGTCTTTAAAAGAAAAGAAAGCTAAGTCAGAAAAAGCTTAATGTTTCTATTTAATGTAAATAGAAACACCAGAATTTTCATTTATTTGTGAGTTAGAAACATGATCACATTTGATGACACGTTTAAATTCACATGTTTATGTTTAATCTCTGTATGCTGTAAGCATTTGAAACCAAGGTAAAATTCCTTGTTTGTGTACACAAGCTTGGCCAATGAAGCTGATTCTGATTCTGACATAAACTCAGCTCCAGCAAAAGCAATACATTTAAATCTAAGTTGCGGATATATTTTATAAACTTTAGATCGACTGCAGTTTCAAATAACTGTTGTTATTGATTTGCTTCAATATGAAAATTAATACAACGTGGAAATGAACGCAGAGCCCAGGGTTTTCCTTCATGTATCTGTAAATTCTCAGTTCACAACATTATTATTGTTGCCTTCCTCTGCAGCAATAAACTTGATCTCAGCGTTGGCAGTCCTTGACGCCATGCTACTATCCCGGATCTTGTGTTTGAAAAGGAATGGAAAGGTTTTCCTAAAAGATTTCTGAAAACTGGCTCCCATAAACCCATAAATAATGGGGTTGACTGAGGAGTTGGCATAGGACATGCAGTTGGCCCAGGTCTTGATCTTGTACATTGTGTAGTTGGGTTGGTAGTTTGGATAGAAAGACTGGAAAAGCACAAAGATCTGGATGGGACCCCAACAGATGGCAAAGAGGAGGACGATCACCACCACCATCTTGGAGACTTTGCTCCTGATGCTGATGGTTCTCTCAGACAGGAGGTTGACCTGAGAAAGATATCACAATAGATATCAGCTTTTTTTATGTTATTTAAGAGGCTTTGTTGTTGATGCTGGTTGTTAGTTTGAAAAATTACAATTGGCCCTCACCTGATTAAAATAAATGAATAAATACTGATGTCAAAAATCTTAAAAATAATGTTATTATTTTGCCAATTAATGGTAAAAGTTATTTAAATATAAATCAATGTAATGCCTATACAATGGGAAAAGAAACAAAGTCTGATAAGGAAAATATATTTTATGCCCATTTTGTTTTTTTTATCTTATTTATTCAGATATAGAAAATAATGCAAAGCAAATATTAAAAGGTTGTGTATGAAACCTCCTGGCTGTTCAATTATAAAAGTTTAATGTTACTAAAGAAAAACAACCTATGTCTTCCATTGTACTTCAAATGAAATCTACATGACTATTCCTGTATGTTAGCTGCAGATCCACAGATACAAGGTTTAATACTTGGAATGTTTTTGGTATTTAGAGCGAAATAATAACTATGTAATTATACAATAATTATACACATATTGACATTCCTTCTAACTGGAAAGTGGTTTCATTTATTTCCATAACATCCTTAGAAATACCTTTTTGCTAATTTTCTTTACAAGCTTGGGTCTTTGTTGTGATTTCTTCAGTTGTCTACATGTTTATTTTAGTATTAGAAGTTGAACTCTACAGTAGAAATGAACAGGAAGCTGCAAACTGTATTTTATATATGTTCTATATGTTTCATTGTGAATAAACTGTTGGCAACAGTTATTCAAAACAGACTTGATTCAAACCTATTTTAAAATTTAGGCACACAAACAGTTTTCAATCTCTCTTTGTCCACACCTGATAATTGTTGTCAACAGGCTCTACAGTGGGTTGACCTACTCTCTTCACCATCATCGAATAGCAGAAAGAGATTGTGAGAACCGGCAGCATGTAGGCGGCAATAAACTGATAGAGGATGAATGCTCTCTCATGTGTCTTGGAGGGAAATCTCTCCATGCAGTATTGCCTCGGACCGTACCAGTAGCCCTCCTCAAGCCGCTGGTACATTAAAATCGGCGTGGACAAGATGAAGGAGCCTGGGTAAAGCAGATGTGTTGTTGTTTTTTTTAAACAAAACTCTAAGTCAGTCACACATGCTAGATACGTTTTGCTTTTCAGTTATTCATTTTTGTGTGGAGCAGGGAGGTAAAAGCATTCAACATACCAATCCATATGCAAATGCTGACTATCATGGCCACTTTTGGGGTGCGGTGACGGAGAGATTTGAGAGGGTAAACAGTGATGTAACAGCGGTCTCCACTCATGGCAGTCAGGGTGATACATGTGGCTTGTACTGTCACCTAAGAATGAAATGCAGCCAAACACATTCTAAATAAGAACATGTTTCTTAAACATTTAAAAACACAGTGATGGTGAGGAGATGATGTCAACACCTATTATTTTTACGACGACAAACAAAACGTACTGAAAATTAGTCACAGCTGATTTTGTGGTGTTTCTTATGACAGACTACTGGGGCCAGGAGGAAGAAAGAAAGAATTTATATATATATATCATTAGAATAAAGCAAGTATTTTGTATATGCATTTTGTATTTATATAGGTCATTAAAATAAAGTAAGTATTTTGACAAAAACTTGTGAGAGAAACTTTTTTCTCATCCATTAACTTTAATAGAGTTAATGAAAAGGCAAGTCAGTGTCATTCCCTCTTGTGAGAAAGTTCAATAGGCATTATTACTCTTGCAGGTCATCTATACAAAGATGTCTCATTTCAAAAGGAATTTCATTATTAAAAGAACAGGATGTTTCCTGCAAGCATGGTGATGATAACACTATGTCCCAATATAATAAACATCAAGTGCAAACATTATCTTCAGACATGAAAATAGAGACAACAAAGTGCAAAGAGATGAATGGAAAATAGGCAATTTATCAACCATATTTTAAAAGTGGTTTGAGTGTATTTAGAAAAAGTCAATAATGTAATAATTTATTGGTAGAAATTAAAAGAATCAAATTAAAAATCAATCAAGCCTTATTTTTGAAAAGCATCAACTAAACTTACTACTTTATTTGATAAAGCATTAAGTTATTATTTAGTCATTTCTAAATATTAACTATATTAATTACTAAGTTCATATTTAGTAGTTACTAAATATTAACTTAATATTATTTTGTATGTCCATTTCAGCTCTAATATTACTGGAATATATTCTTATAAGATTTCTAAATTAATGTCTATGATGTTTTGGACGGGCTGTACTGAAATGAAATGAAATTCTGTTGTCCTTTTGTTCACTGACAATAAAGGCACCATGACTCTGATTTTTGAGTGAAAATAAATGCTGGTTTGTGTAAAATTGAATCCATTCTGTTTCGACATGTACTTTAAAGTCAGACATGAATCTTCCCAACAGCGTGTACCTCTGCCTCCTGCTGGATCTGTCTTGGTGTTATGTGTAGTTATGATGCCGGGACCCATTACCCAACAGAGGTTTGGCGCATCACATCAGGATTTCAAAGGATTGAATATAAAAGACTGAAAGGGGTCATGGTAAGTTCAGCACTAAGGCTGCTGAGAAAATAATCTCCTACCTGCGATGTTCAGGACTTTCAGTGTATTACACCCTGCTGTAATACAGTTGGTGCTCCAAATCCAGTTTTCGCTACCTCTTTAAATTGAAAAAGGAATTAGTTGTGTGATTTAAAGCAAACCAGTCTATGGTTGCTGGATTTTTATTGACAGCATTGCCAAGCATTGACCCACATGAAGAATCACAGCCCTATTTATTACTGCGTTTAACTGCTAAATAAAAGATGAAAGTATGAGTTTTTCTTCATAGTTTTTTTCATACCTGGGACAGGTGAAGCTAGAGTTTTGAGTAAATATGTATAGATTATGAAAAGGTGATTAATTCTAAGGTTAATGTGTGGAATTACGTAGTGATTACTTTAGACTGAATGAAAAAGTAAAACAGGAGGAAATTTTAAAATACTGACATAAATTAAGTTTTTTGAATGAAGTATTTTTATAACATCTAAATTATAATTCAGTCAAATATTAAAAATTTTTAGCTTATTTTTACTCACTTTGATTTTGTTTGTTTTTTGTTTTTCTGCAAATAATATGCCCATTGCTACACACATACACACACACCCACACACACACACACACCCACCCACACACCCACACACACACACACACACACACACCCCACACCCACACACACCCACACACACACACACACACACACACCCCCACCCCCACACACCCACACACCCACACACACACACACACACAAATCTGAAATCAGCAGGAAGCCAAAAGATGATTTTTAACATGTTGGAGAACTTAAACAAAATCTTTGGAGTAGTGGAAAGTCCAAACGTTTAAACCAAAACTCATCCATATCTACTGAGTTCCATTATTGGTTTTATTAATATTAATTGACTTATCCATTTTTATGTTTTGTTTTTATTAATATGCAGAATCTTATTTATACTATTTCTTCTTGCTTTGGCAATTTACTTCTTACTCCTTTCACTTTTTGCTTTTCACAATTGGAGCTTTAATTCAGTGTAAAGCAACTGTGAGTAAATGTGGTGCATTATGTTGTATGCGGTAATTGATTGTTTCTTACCAGGGGTTTTTCACCCATGTGTTTATGATTAGTCAATCTGACATAATAGTCGATCAAACATAAAGTCCATAAAAAATTTAAAAAAAAACACTGTTGCAAGAAAAGATACGTTTTGCTCTGTTCTGCAAATCCCATAAAATTTGCAACTACATGGAAATTTGCTCACTTTTTTTACAGATGTCTAAAGTGACTGAAGTGAAAATAGATTCTATCTTTTAAAACTTTGTAGAAAGTCCATGTTTCATCCTGTGTAGGGACTTCCCCACAGACTTTCAATGTTGCATGCCAAGTCTTTCACATTTAGCAACTCGGTGTTTCCATGGTGTCAAGTCGAGCAGCAACGCATTCAGTCGCTTGGCTAAAACTGCACAGGTGCAGGACCTGTCTGAGTAATGATGTTAGTGTATGATTGTTTGGAGATGTATAAATGTTATGAACACATGAGAGGACAGGAAAAAAAGAAAGTAAAAGTAGAGTTGTGCTATTCATGTTAACATGAACAGCAAGGAATAAACTGAGTTTTGTTATTTATTGATTTTTAACACCTGTACTGAAATCTCTCCATTAATATTCTGTGACATTCTGCTTATTTTGGATGCATTATGTTTATTAACTTTTTTTCCTCACTTCATGTTTTGCAATCTTGAACAGAAATGAATTTGTCTCAGTTTAAACACAGCTGAAAGGGAGAAGTTGAAAATTAGATTATACATGTCCTTTCAAACTCAAGAGTACTTTTGAAATACATTAGCAGCAACTCCAGCTTTTCTTGAATTGTAGAAATTTTTATTTTTGTACAAGATGGTTTCATTTATCTAGGAAGATACTTGGATCTTGTATTTTGTATACTGGAGCTTTTCTGCTGTCATCCGGTTTTGAGGGGGGTAATGTCTGATTCTGCAGATGTCATTTCTTTGAAGATTTATTCAGACTGTAATGACCTTCCTTTGGCTTTCAGAAGAAAAAAAATGCTTGGAAAAAGATAGAGCAAAGTTCTGACTCAAAACGTCTTCGCCGAATAGAGGGAATTTTCATTCTATGTAGAATAGATGGAATTGTTTCTGCCATTAAAAGACCCATATTGCTCATACTACAACTCTGAAGCACTTGCGATAAAGTCTTCTAACAAATGGATGCATCTTTGTGTCACTGAAATTGAAGTTCACCCACTGGCAGACAGAGCTGCACAAAAGTCTTTGAATAAGAGATGAAAATGTGAAGTCTCTAAAATGAGTCAGCATTTAACAGCGAACACTTTTTGGGGCTGAAGTTCCCCTTTCAAGACTGATCATCTACTGACAACAAAGCAATAACAATCACATGGAGTCATTTTTGAAGAGTTAAAAATGACAAAGTTCTGATGATAATACAGTCTTAATCCGTGGAACTTGGGTTTTGTATTTTTCTTAATTGCTAGGTTAGACACTCTTTGATATTCTGATTTATTTCATGCTTAGCTTTAAGATTCTCCATCTTACCGGAAGTATGCTGTTGTGATCAGTTGTGATCACTTATGGTTTATTGTTATTTAGTTCTTCCCACATACTTCATTCCTTTGTGTTTGATGTCTCAATGCTTGGGTTTTTCTCCTTATGTTAGTGCTAGGCTTTTTCCCTTTGGACTTAGACATTTTTTTTTGTGTTTCAGTTCCACACCTGCTGTGTTAATTTGTCTCCTTCCTTGCTGTGCACTCTTCTAGATCTGTTCTACAGCTCTGTGATTAAGCTCAAATGGTTTCATTGCCACTTTCCACCAGTTTCTTACTAATTAAGCTTCTATGTTTTCATTGATCTTTGAAAGTAGATCTTTTGACTACATTAACTAAATCCAAAGGTTGCACATGTAAAAAAATAAAATAAAATAATTAACAGAGCCACAATTTAGATAGCTTTGTACATATAGTAAGCTGGTCATCTGTTTTCATTGTATTTGGACCAGGATTTGAATTTCTATTTATTTGAGCAAGTTGTGATGAAACTCAGGATGGAAGCGATGGAAAGTCATGTTTGGCTTTAATTTTTACTATGTGACACTTTCAGCTGTTTGCATGGGTTTATTTGAGTCAAACAAAATCACAATCTTGAGGTTCTCAATTGCTGAGTGTCACTGAAAATGCCATCATCAAAGCATCCGGTGTGATGAAAAAAATCAACATAGAGCATGTCTATTCAGCTTTACCCTGTAATTCAGCCTGTACTCTGAATGTGGGTGACTCTGAATGTGGGTGACTGAGGCTCTCTGGCAGAATAGTCATTTCCCAATAAGAAGGTTGTAAGTTTGATTCCAGCTTCCTCTTGTCACATGTTAATGTGCTGGTACTTAACTGAAAGTTGCCTGCATTTGTGTGTGTTTGTGAATGTGTGTGGTTTTGCACTCAAAGTGGTTTGTAAGACTGGAAAGGGTTCTTATAAATTTAATCTGTTTATTTAGGACTTTTTTAAAATTATTTTTTCTTACATAGTATGTACAATCACAATTGAACTAATCTGCAAAAAAATATTAATTTCATTACAATAGCTGAAGTTTACAGTTTAAAAGCAGAAACTGCAGAAATAATTGCTGCTGTTGAACCATTTTCAATAACAATAGTAACTGTGATGGTAGGAATGTTCAAATATTAGCCTGTGATGTATGAGTTTCACTTTCATGAACAAATTATTAACAGCAATTTATTAATTAAAACAATTCTGACTTTTTAGTTGATATTAGTAATTTTCAGCCTAGAGGACAAGCATGTGATATCATTGGAATAGGTAAATTACTAGTGAGCACTATAAATAGAAATAAAAGAATGCAAAGCAAACTGAAATGTTAAAAGAAACGGAACCAACATTTAGGAATAAGAATATTGGATAAAACATAATTGTGTTACCTGCTGCAGAAATGCAACAAATTTGCACATGAAGTTGCCAAAGATCCATCCAGGGAGGGGATAGAGAGTGGCAGTGAAGGGGACACAGCACACCAAAAAGATTATATCGGTGGCAGCCAGGTTTGCTAGATGGAAAGAAAAGGTAGATGTCAGGCAATTTTCTGTCTTACATCAGTCCACATACATTATAATTTAAGAAGGCTTATAATAGCCCAGTTTTTTTATATTGCAAAAACTAAAAAGCCCTCTTTCAGTGTTTACTTTGTTTTTATTAGTAGCAGTGTTTCTTTTGGCTTTCCATCTGTATTTTTGTCCCTTTTGATGTTCTTTCTGGCAGTCCAACTGAATAAAGTTAGATGTTAAAAATATATTACTGATGTTCAGAAAAAAAAATCATTGTAAAGGTTAAAACTTTCTCCTTAATAACAACCTCAGAATATATACATTTTCCAGGGATGTTGATTGTATTGTTCTGACCCAAGGAAGAAGGACAAACTGTATTGCACACAATAATTACAGTTAACTGTGAAATAAGTTTATTTAGACATTTGTACCCCTATTTATATTTGTTTTTAGACACATTCACTCAGTGTCTCTTAATGAACTACAAATTTGACACAAATGGATGTGCTGTGCACCTGAAGGAAAAAAGAACAAGATGCACTAATCAGATATAACATTTGGATTGTTGTGTCTGCTGCTATTGTTCATACACAGTAAATTGCAACAGGCTGTACATTTTAAAACCTTTTTGTCAGAGTAGTTTTACCTCCTTCAGCAACTTGAAGGAGGTAAAACTACAGTAGCTGAAGTGGTTGTTTCGCATGTCAGCTTTCATTTCCTGAGCCCTGTCAAACCTACTCAGATATTGCCCACTTATTCTGATTCTAACACATCCACTTTTAGGAAAAAATCTTTCACTTTCTCTCTAAAGTCAACTACTGGCAGGTGCCATGGTGAAGAGAGAACCAGTTTTGTTCACTTTATTCATGAGTGGTCTCATTTGGTGTAGCGGATCGGCATTATCCAATTTTCAATTTGTGATTGTAGTCTTGTTAATTATTCCCTAAAAACTAAATTACTGGGTAGTTTTTACTACCTTTTAAGTGAAGGAACTGTCATGTTCAATTTGCACTGGGAGAAAATCCAGAGCTGATTATCTTTTGTGTCTTTATGTAACTTTTTCTTCTTAATCACATTTACACATGACCAAATGATGTCTGCTGCATATTGAGAATCAGACTTCTTCTCACATGTAGCTTAAAAAAAATAGACAGTTCAAATGAATGACAAAGTCATGATTCCTCTGTCTAAAAGCAACATCTTGCTTTGCTGTAATTTGTCATATTGAGGAACCCACCTTGTAGGTGTGATGGACTCAGAGAAAATTAGTTTATGTCGGTAATAAGATGAAATTGTTGAAACCCATAGTCCATTTTGTGTTTTATACCAAGTGCAAGAGATGATAGACCATAATTATCTCGACTGTATTCAAATACTTCACTTTATTAAAGAAGCTGGTGGATTCTGTATATTTATCCAAAGAATATATTTTGAATGAATGATTGTACGGTATTTCATATGGTGTCTGTTTTCAAATGATTTTATTAAGATGAGCACAATCAGAGCCACAATTGTTACATTCATTTCAACTTGGCAATGAAAGCCACTATATATGGAATTAAATAAAAATCTGAAACGAAATGACAAGTTTGAAATAAATGCTAAGAGATGTGTGGTATCCTTGATTCATCTGTTCCAATTAAGCTAAATTCCATGCATAAAATATTGTATGACGTTAGTTTGGCCTTGTGCATTTGAAATCAGATACCAAGAAGCTGCTTCAGAAAGAGAATATATTATTTGGTGGTTATAAACTGAACGTGTGTTAAACATTTTATGAACTGCCTCTGGGTCTTCACATCTATTCTTCCAAACTTTTAACCCCTTAAATGGCAAAGAATAAGGCAGAGTATTCAAACAAATTAGATTTGTCTCATGGATGGAAGATTGCCAGTTAAAGGGTTAATTCTTAATATAAAGACAAAGCCCAAAAAATACTTTTATGTTTTGATAACATATCAGTCAGAGGTTTGCAGTCTGGCTCATGCATCCATCACTGTCGCAAGCATGCCAGACACCATTCCCCATTTGTTTGAAGAGCTGATCTAATCACATTGTTGTTGCCTAACCATATTGTTGGAGAGATTGGTAGATGATGCGGTTGCTAATTAAATTATGCTGAATATTACACTGTTTCAGTGCAGTGGCCTTGGGATGTATTAACCAAGATCAAATTCTCCTCACATCCGGAGTGCAATGTGCAAACACAGATACACAGAGTCACAGAGCAACAAAAACATTATTTTAATTCACATGGATGTGATCACATTTATTTTACTGCTCCCTCCTCTCCCCTCTCCCACACTCTATTTTGTGGAACAAACTCAGGAAAATCAATCACCTCACCTTTGGCTTAGTAATGGCATATAGATCAAATACATTCCAGATTGCAAATCTGCGTGTTCTGAATACTAAGAAAAGACATAAAATATAAACAAGGTTGGATGATCTCATTTAACATTATTATTTTACAACTATTTTTATTGTGAGCCTTGTTTCAATAAAGGCAAGCTTTGCAGGATGTAAAGAACATATTAAAACAAATATTATTTAACAGAAATATTTTAAATCCTAACAGTTTAAATTAAAACAACCTGTACTTGACTACAAGGATAGTTTCATGAAAATACTCAAGTATCAGAAAAACCTTCCAGAAAGGATAGGTTAAATTCATATTACAAAAGGTAAAAACGTATAATATGCCAATACAACTGTCCATGTGTTGGATTGCATTGGATTTCAGTGCCTCTTAATTTGGTGTAAATGAGGTGTCAGTATGTTTGCCTTGAAAATAGATGTAGCTTTTCAGTTCATTTTCATTTTCCACCAGTGATATTATTGCTGCTGCTTGAAGCAGCAATAACAGAACTTTCTGTTCTGACATGTACAGAAAGTTTCATATCAGAAACTTTCTGTTTCTGACATGAACCTTTTGCAAACTTTAAAATATCTGTACAATTTGGAAAAATTAAATATATTGTCAAAGCTAATTACCAAACCAGTCAAGAACTGTCATGAGCTTTGTGCCTATTAACTGTGATAATGTTGTGTTGGGAGCCTTGCAAAGGTATGAAATCTTTCAATCTTTTGTCATAATTTTAAAAAAAGCATATATGCATTTTTCATGTGGAGAACAATTGACTGAAAAGGATGCTGTACATTTTATAAATATGTATATTTTTTCAACAAAAAATACAGCATCATATTTAATCATGCTGAATGGGATGTGTGTGATACTTTGTTGTTTAAATAAATTCCAGTGTAACTGTTTCCCTTAAAAGTCATCTAATCCATATGTGTGTGTGATTTAATCACAGTCAATCCAGTTGTTCTGTAAGAACCTCGGAGGTTTGCTGAGGTTATTAGTAATTGAGGTTAAATGTTCAGCTGTGTGTTTACTTCCTGTTTGTTAGTTAAATTTACAAGCTGATGTCCCCCTTCACCCATTCCAAGTGTGGTCTTGTCACCTTCGTTTCTTATATGTTAGGTCAGTTTATCTTCTTTGGAAGGTAAACTTGAAATTGTGTCATGTCAAATAATCATTATGGCTTGTTCAAAGTTTCTTTATTCTATTTCTTTTTAAGGCCTTGCATTAATTGTTTGATTGCTTTTTATTTGGGGGAATTAAAACCCACTTTTTGGAAACTACTTGAAAAACAGTATGAACCCCAAACCCAACATCCACGGGGTGAAACATAGCTTTGGTTGTAGCGTATTTGGTTGCTTGCTTTCTTATACAGGGTAGTAAAGTGACATAAGACAAAGGTAGAATTATTATGCAATGTATAATAGCTGTGGCAAGGAGAAAAGGAGGGAATTAAACTAAAGAGAGCTAAACTAAAGGTAAACCAAAGTATAAAACCTAACTATTATCTGAAGGAAATAGTACACTTTAAATACAAATATCAATCTGTCGATATTTGTGGCTTTACCAAGACAAAGTGTGAAGTTCAGGTGGATAAATACTTTTACAAGGAAATGAACATAATTGCTCCTAGAAACCTGCGTGATGGCAACATGAATAAGACATTGAGTTGTTAAAATATGCTGCTTTGAAAACATGTTTTCAGGGATATGAATTTTTCAACAAGACCATATGAACACATTATGCATGCATTAATACATGCAGGAGATATGTGGAGTAGTTTGCCTGCAGTCTTAACCTGTTCCCAGGAAGGAGTCAATGCAAAAAAATAGCAACAAGCTTTCTTTTATTTGCAGACAGAATTGGTCAAAACTACTCTTTGCACGGTTCATCACTTTTAAGCTTTAATAACGCAACAACATTGAGTTTAGTTCGCAGAATAACAAAGGATGGAAGGGCTTTATTATCTGTATTTCTTGGCCACAGTAAATTAACAGTTTTGATATCAGTCCGACTTTTCGTGACTGAGTTTTGTAAATCCCATCCTACACCCTCGTATCAGTGTCTTTCACATTTTCCACAAACTCATTAAGATGTACATTATTTTTGCCTACCTATGTAGAAGTTGGTGGCTGTTCGCATCTGTCTGTGTTTGGAAATAACATAGATAACGAGAGAGTTGCCCACCAGTCCGACCAGCATGATGAGAGAGAAGAAGAGCGGTACCAGCCAGGCGTCAGTGAGAAAAGGATGCTGGTTCCCGTCCTCTTCTATGCCATACGAACGTCTCTGAGATAAGTTTGCTTCTGATCCATTGAGGCCAACCTGATCTGTGGAATTCCAAAGCTCCTCAAACATTGTGTCAGAATGGAAGGTACTGCAGTGAAGGAAGGTGACAAAAAATAGTGAGGAGTGCTACTTGTGGATGAGGAGAGACCGTCAGCTGCAATGCACTTGCTCTAAGTCCAGTTTGCTCTCAGGCAAAAAACAAGAGAAGAAAACAGAAAAAGAAAATGCACTTAGAAGCTCTAATTCTGTGATTATGGGGAGGCTGAGATTGCTGAGAGATTTAGGGATGCAAAACATAAGTTGAGAGAAGGCGTCTGCATGCAAAATGACTCCTAAGTTTGAAAAGAAATACTAATTGCTCTCAAGCTCAAAGTGAAATCCTGAAAGACGTCAAGCTTCCATCGAAAGTTCACAAGAAGGAGCATTTTCAGAGCCCGCTGAAGTTGTTTTTTTTTATTTTCTTTTTTCTCAAAAGCAGGATTTCAAGCATGCAATATTGCTGTTTTGTGAGATAAGCCAGCTACCAAACAGGAATCAGTGTGCAGAGACGGAAACAGATGTCTTCTCCATGCTTCCTCATGATAAACAGAATCCACAGCTCATTTCCATCTCTCCTCCTTCCAGTTAAATCCGGATCTGTTGCATTCAGTCCTTTTGCATATTGTAAAAAAAAACCTGAAAATGAGCAACTTGATGAATCAGAAATGACAAAGATGCAGATCAGTATAGGAGTTAAGTCTTGCTCTGCGGTCTTGATAAAATAATGGCTGGAAAGAAAGCTTTTGTTTAAAAAAGGAAATAACCTGAAGCATCAGTGTTTGTTGTTCGTCCTCCCAGCAGAGCTTAGTTGATCTTTTTGTTTGTGCTTCAGCAGAAATCACAGAGAGTGCAGTGAGTGAAGGGGATGCTGCCGGCTTTATAGAATGCGCAGGAGCAAGGACACACAGGCGCATTGGAGAGGGGAAAGACAGAGGGCTGTGCTCACACACATACACATACAAAACTCAGAGCATGTGGGCTGCTGGATGACTTTGGGATAAACGTCTCCATGTCCGAGTCTCCTAGCAACATTATTGCTTAATGTTTCTTTCTAAAACAAGTTATGATCCTACAAATAAAGACCATAATCAAAAACTATGAAAAGTATATTTTTAATTGTCATCTATAGGGAATTTTGAAAATTCCCCTTTTTTGTAAAAATGTAGTAAAACAGTGAAACTTCTGGTGAGATGCAAAATAGGATAGCAACACATATAATTCAACTTGAAATTGCTACTATTTCACATAGGTGATGTTTTGCAACATTTTGAACCAAGATTGCTTTGTTTAAGCCTTTAGATATTTAGTTTTCTGAACTGCTGAAGTGTGACTGAAGACCAGGATGAGATTAAAAGGTCAATTTGAGGCTTGGAGAGTGAACCGTTTAGCAGCTTTTAAGATTAATAAAGGATTTAAAGAGATCTCAGGGGAATTTGAAAACAGTCTCTGTACAAAAAAAAAAATTGAATGCTCTCTTCAAGTGGAGAACATTCAAAACAACCATGCTTCACCTTACAGCAGCATCATCCTGCTGTTGATCTGAAATTGCGATACAATTAGAAAGAAACTACCCAACAGAGTGTACATGTACACTCTAGAAAAACATGAAATATCATTTAAGAATTTGTGGCTCTTGAAAATTACACAACACACACACAAATACACAACTCTTTCAAAAAGAATCCTAATATATCACTCTGCACTCTGTAAATTATTGATTAGCTTTCAGGCATAAACTTTCATAGAGAGAGAAAAATGACTGAACCTAACCGGGCTTCTTTAGTGCCAAAATACAAATCTCACTGTGGAAGGTTATGACAGGTTCCCCTCCTGTCTGCGGCAATTTACACCAATATCCCACAGATAAACAGATGCCCTCTTAAATCTACCAGGATGAGACTTTTCACAGTTAAACGTTACATCACAAACCAAAAATGGACACACAGTGGAAGTAAAATGTATCTTCACTCTTCAGATGTGTCTTGCAGATTATTTCAACAAAGCTTTATTCACAAAATTGTGTCAACACAACACACCAAATGATGGCTCGTTAGCAGACCTCTGCAGAACATCAGCATGATGACTGGAAATGGAATAACTACCACAAGGGAGAGAACTAAGACTATGTTTACATCGCAGGCCATAATACTCAATTCCAATTTTTTGTGTGGTTGTTCACATTTCCAAATAGGTACAACTTGCAGGTGATCTCCTGTATTGACTTTAACAACCAAAAACTGTCCACATTCATACTAGAGGACGCAACAGGACAAGTAGAGAGCATTCTAGTGTGGTAGGACATAGTATAGAAATATTTGTTGAGTATTAGTGAAGTAGAGGTTGGATGAATGTGACTTGACCCTACAGACACTGCAATGAAAAGATCGGGTCACATGGGGGAAAAAAAATCAGATTTTAGTTACTTCATGCTGCAGTGTGAACGTAGCCTAAAATATGTAGGAGACCAGCCCTTCAGGACCAACTTTGGACAATCCTGGCCAAATCTGTCAAATGACAAAATGTGGAAGAGGAAGGGAGGAAAACCAAAAGTACAGTCAAAGTCACAAAAAGAGCAAAAATCAGAAGCCAAGATTAACAGCTTTTGGATTATTGCATCATGCTGATTGTGCAGTCATATCTGTTCAGCAATCAAGTCTAACCTTTAGGGAACCTTGCACACATCACAAAGGCTGCTGTGCCTGTTTAGAGGGAATCATTCACTTGGGCAAGGTTTGAACTTTAAACAAATCTTCAGTATTTTATAGGTTGTCAGGTTTCTTATTTGCTCTGATCCATAGTATTAACTCTGTCGGACTGATCAAATAATTAGATTTTGAAGGGTGCATTTTTAGAATCAATAACTGGCTGAGTGATTTGTTTAGGTTTTCAAATCTCCCCTTCCTCTTTCTTAGTGCCTGCTTGGACTTGCTCCAGTCTTAATGACACTTCCAACTTGATAAACAGGATCAAATTTATTGATGTCATGCTTTTCTGAATTCTTGAGATGATGTGTTCAACTAAGTAATCCATGAATAATTTAAAGCCCTTGTTTCTGTGGCTCTGGTAAAATGAATCACTTAATTGACTGTACATCTCCCAGAAGACCGAAGCGCATCAGTATGTCGGAAAAGTGTTGGTGTAAAGATTCTCTCTGGATTTGAGTCATTCATGCAAATCAGCTATGCACTGATCCAGATCCTGCCCTTCAAAAGTATTGCATCACACATGACAAGTAAAAACTCTTTTTTTAAATAAATCAGTGCACTCTTCTCTGTTTGACTCTCCTGGTAAAGCTTGACAATAAAATTGTTTTCACTGATATGTTGAGAAATATTATTTGCATGTTATAAAACTTCATTTTGCTAATAGGGCAAGACAACATTTAATATTCTCCCATGATATTTCCTAAGGGTGGTGCATAGACAAAGAAGCTTTGACCATCCCTTTGTATGGCTTTGCTATATTTTCCATACTCCCGGAAACCCAGTATGTTTCTATTCATACTACTTTACGGGTTTTCATAGAGTTTCAGTCAAGGGACTGATATGGCTATGCGAGACAGTTGATCTTTGTTTCTAGTTAATTATTTTGGTGTAGATTTGAACATGAGGTAAAGTTCACATTTCCACTTTGAGAAATTTTCTGTTTCATTTATCTGTGGACTTAAGTCCACAGATAACAGTGAATACAAGTCACTTTTTCAAAAATTACATTTTATTACTAACTCGACCTGGAGTGTTTGTTGCCAAAATAAATAATCTTAGCCTCATTTGACCAATAATACATAAGGCTACAGTTACTGTGCCAGAGGCATTGTGAAAACTTTACACATTCATCCCTGAATTTATTTTACTTTAATTGGCATGTTTACCAGTCTTTCCTATTCTGAAGAGTCCACCAGAAAAATATGCCTCTATGCCATATCTTACTTACACCACACTAAAAGATTTGGTAATGGATTCAACGCTCACAAATATATTAAAATTTAAGATGATTTTTTTCCATTTATGTTTAAATATAATACTTAAATATTAGGTATCTTCAAGATGAACTTTAAACCTTGAGAACATTTTCATGTTTCTTATGTATTAACATTTGAAAACACAAGAAATACATTTTGGAGCCAAAACCATGTCACTGTTGTGTTCACTGTTTGTCAACAGGAGGTCTATCAGCTCCACTGATTGCCAGTTTCAGACTGTGCACTCATGGATTCCAAATAATGCAACGCCATTGCAGGCCTGCTGTCTTTAAATAAAACTGTCCAGATTGCTTTAATGATCCCAGAAAAACAAACTTTATGGCTGAATCACTAGAGAAGCAACTGAGACTAACACTACATCACATTTATTTCCTGTCTAATTTGTTCCATTCTGCAAAATATTTGACTGTGTGATGATCCAGTATACATTTAAAACATGGACTACCGCCAACTGCTTATGAAATTTGTTTAATATTATGCAAATAAATGTCATTGTTGCATTAAATACATTTTTATAGCTGTTTGTTTTTTGCTTGAAAAATCCCCTGCATTTCCATTGAGAAACAAAAGCCATCACACCAAAATAGAGTTGCATAGTGCAGTAATAATGATCCAAGCAATCACAGGTTAATTTGATCCTGTTGTTAGATAAGGTGGGTGTTTGATGTTGTGTTCAATGGCTATTTTACAATTATTAGAAGTACCGTGCAATTAAAATAAAAAAGAAATGTTCAAGAGCTATGTTTAATTTAGTGTAAAATTCAAACAATGAACAATAAGTCCCTGAATCACATGTATTGCCTTACCTTAAAAAACAAGTCAAATATTAGTCAGAATGATGATTCAATAGTATTTTATCATGCTATTCTTGGCAAATGCAAAAGTCTGAAAGCGGGCTTTGCATATCCAGATAGTAAAATTAATGCATATTCTTTGCAAAACAGCTCAAGCTCATTCAGAATCAATCGAGAGTGTCTCTGAATCTCATTCTTTTTAAATCTCAGCTTAATTTAGGATTGAATTTTCACTGGGCCTTTCAAAGACATGAATGTACGCTAATCTAAACAATTTCCTCCAACCGTGGCAGGATGTTAAGCCTCTGTGTTCTGATGAAAGTTGAACCTAAACTCTAGTTTCAAGAATTTTTCAGCCTTTTATTTGTATTTTAAATATCGGCCCATATTTAGCTGCATTCATCCTCCCTTAATCCCACAGCATGATAATGCTAACACCACCTTTCCTGCTACTTTTTGTGTAAACTAAAAAGTTTAATGTTGATCTCATCTTACCCAAAAACTTCATTCAACATGCTGAATGTACCTCCACAGGACTTGTAATACTTCCTATAAATGCTTTTTGGAGAGCACAACCTGAAATTCTCCTGTGAACTGATTCTCACACCTGAGCTGTGGATCTGTGCAGCTCACATCAAAACTCTTTCCTAATTTAGGCTGTAATTCTCCAGTCTCCCTGTTTCAAGCAAATCTTTTTCTTCTAAAACCTTAATATTTACTGCACTGTTTTTCGTTTTGTTTGCTTTTTCATTTTCTTTGGCTGTTAAGGCTTAGATGATTAAATATGACTCAAAGAACTTGACATTCTGTGCACCTAGTTCCTGATCTTTAGGATACATCGATAGAAACAGGAAGGAGGTAAGGAGTCAGTGTCGAT